TGAATACTGATCCAATAGTTGTTTTAAAATGTAAACATGTTGTTTGTGATTTCCTGCAAAGTTAAAAAAAAATATTTACAACATTTTCTACAAATTGTAATAATCTGTTTTAATTTGCAAAAAAGAAATGATACATTTTATATAACATTAGCCATTTTGGGATTCTGTTTGTGATTTTCTGCAAAGTTAAGAAATATCTACAAAATAATCTTCAGATTGTGATAGTCTGTTTTAGTTTGCAGGAAGAATCGATCCATTTTATATAACAGTAGCCATTTGGGATTTTGTTTGCGATTTCCTGCTAAATGAAAAATGTTTGCAAAAGGATCTGCAGATTGTAATAGTCTGTTTTGGTTTCCAAGAAGAATTGATGCATTATATACATATCATTAGCCATTTTGTGATTTTGTTTCCTCTTACTGGGAAAAACTACCAGTTAGAAACATGTGAGAGGTTAGTCTAACATCTGCTGTTTGATCTTATTCTGCTATGCAGGCCCAGTAGCCTGCAGCTGAGGTCACAAAGACTGAGCACAATGAGAGCCATATTTAAATATCCCCTCCAGCATAAAAAAAAGGCAATGCACTGGTATTTAATGTGACGCTGTGGACCTGACAGCAAAAGGCGTGATTGCTGCACAAGAAAAAGGAGGGGTGGGGTGGGGGGTGCCTGAAGAAGTTCAAGTGCTGATGATCTGGGTGGGCGGAAAATTAGATAAGGGGGCGCATTGATACTACAAACATATATTTAGGAAACACAGCGTCTGAAAGGCTTCCTTGTGTTGTACTGTTCTTGCTCAATGTGTTTATTGAAAGAGTTTTCCACTCTGCAAATAAAAGAGCATTTTGACAAGATAAACTGCCCATCCGCCTATTCTCCATGTTGCCACAGGAGTCAGGAGCGTGCAGTTGGCAGTGGAACAGGTTGAAAGGGGCAGGGTCTGATGCAAGTTTACTCTGTGTGTTTGTATAGATTGCAGAGCACAGATAGGGCGCATCTGTCAGTGAATGTGGACGCAAAGGCATGCCAAAATCTAGTAGGAGCACGCATTAATTATTGTGTTATTGTGTATTTATAGATTCTGTGAAGACGTATGTGGTTTTTCTGTTCTGCATGGGCACTGCCTTTTAATGACATCCTGGAAACCTTGTTTTGATCTGCTTGTATCAGCTTTGTTAAGGTGTTATAGCTATTGTAACCAAAAAAAAAAAAATCCTTCAGGCGGTAGAGTTCTATTATCTTCACTTTCAATATATTTATTTCGCGGTGTGACAAGTCAACAAATAATCTTTACCCAGAAGGAGAGTGATAAAATGTAGCAATGCAGAGTCAGCTTGAAGTGTATCTAAATCCAAAAGCAAAGATATAATATATTGCAGTTTACCAATAGTGATGAGCCGAACACCCCCGTGTTCGGTTCTAACTCGAACTTTCGAACATGGAAAAAGTTCTAAATTCACACAGTATAGAGTCGGGCAGTACAGATCCATGCGGCTTGCACGGCCCTATCGGGCCATTCCTGGGAGGGACGAGTGACCCGGTCCTTCCGATTATGAGTGAGCATGTGACTCCCCTTTCTCCCATGTGACAGGGCTCATTCTTTGTGATTGGCTGCTCAGGCTTATTCATGGGGTGGAGAGAGTCTTTGGAAGGCATGAAGGGGCAGGAAAGTGAATAGAAGGCATAGCTGTATGGATGGTAGTTAAACAAATCTGTTGCTTTGCCCTGCCTGGGCTAAGCTCACATTTCTGACCATGTTTCAGGTTACCCTCATAATATCATTACAATCATAATATGAAACATGGTCAGATCACAAACCCCCCCACATCACCCATTCAAAGATCCTTTGACAAGATCTATGAATGGAGAAACTATCCATTCACTGCAGCAAAAAGACCTGCAGTCCCAATGGAATACAAATGCGGTGACGTCACCCAACTTGTAGTCCATTGACACTTCCTCCCGTACCTGTTACAGCATATCCGTACCTCAGTACAGACATGGATGGGAGGAACAGTCTGCAGGAGCCAGAGCATTTCACCCACAATCAACTATACCTATGTACATGGACATATATAATAGAATACATTGAAGTAAGTTTTTTTACAAACAATACATTTCCATTAAAAAAGGTTCCAGAGCTCACAGGAGATTCAGAAACACGCTTTTTCTTTTTTTTAGTCCTTTTTTTACTGAGATTAAAAAAAGGTTCCTACATTTTACACAGAAACAATATAGTGAAAAAAATAAATAAATAAATATTTATACATTACATTTTTACCATAATGTTTAACATAATAAGTAAAGTAGAAAGATAAAGGGTTAAAGTAGAAAGATTAAGGGTTAACTGTAGGGTGTTTCCCAACAATTCATATATATGAAGGATAATTGGATCTTAACTAGGGATCCCAAACCTTTCAGATATCACTCATTTTATAATTCACAATAGATATAAGATTGTCACTGATCATTATCCAGTCCAATGTTGATATAGTCCATTCAGGATGAATAAACATCTAGCATGTGTAATTTTGGCTGGAAAAAAGATTAAATAAATTCATTTTCCAGAATGTCTAGGGATCTCAGGAATAGAACTGTTCAGGAGCAGATGTTAATGAAGGAATATATGTATTCGGGAATTCTAATCCAAAGTTTGTGGACTTTTGGACAAATCCACCAAACATGGACAACTTTTCAAGGAAGGCAGTTTCCTCTAAAACATAAGGAGATGTATTACATATGTAGCCGAATGAACTGGTACCGTATACCATCTGAGAATAAATTGTAGTTGGTTTCATTAATCATCGTATTGATATATACTGAGGATGTCCTTTTCATCAATATAGGTCAGGGAGTAAGAGCTATTGTTTTCCAAGGTCTAATTCCCAATTAACTCTATAGGGTAATTTGTTGTTAGATGACGATAGAAGTTGATAAATGGAAGCGGTATGTCCAGATTATTTATCATAGTTTCTACAGAAGTATTCAAAGGTAGATATTTTGGTACCAATAACTTTAAGATGGGACTGGATTAATGAACTGCAAAATTTGTGTA